GGCTGCCCTTCCCCGTGTCGGTGTGGGGAGGCAGGTGGAGGCTGCTTGGACCCGTCGGGGCCGTGGTGGAGCGGGCGCAGTGCTGGCCGGGATGCGGTGGAGCCGCGCCGCGAGGTAAGGAGGTGGGTTTCATCCCTCGGCAGTGGGTTGGGGAGACCGCGCGGCGCCCGGCCGCGTGTGCGTGTGCTCTGACGGGGGGCCGTGACCCAAAAGATGCCTGGGGAGCCGAGGAAGCTGCCCTTGTCGATACTTTGCCCCCCTCCATACGTTGGGGAGCAGTGAGCAGTGTTGCACACTGCTGAAATACATGCATATGTTTTCAGATGAGACTGCCTGAGCCTAAATGCAGTTTTAATGTGTGCTTGCAGAATGCAATGAGGTTGTTGCCAGCATGGTAAAACGTGCTTGATCAGAAATCTATCATCTCAGTAATTGTTACGTGGAAATTGTTGTCTCCTTTTCTTTCTTCCTCCCCGACTCTTGGAGGATAGGTTACAAACAATCTCAAAGACTGTGTCTCATGCAAACAGAAAAGCAATGGTTCCCTCACGTCTGGAGAACGCGGTGACAGCATATAGTGCAGGAGTAAGGTGGGTAGAGTAAATGTGTTGCCTCATTAATGCATAATTCCGTTTTAATCTTTAAGGTTTGAGGCTTGAGCAAAACTTACCATGACAAACTGCGGCGGGGTCTCGACACAAAGGTGTTCATTTGTCCCATGTTTCCTGCAGGAGTAATGGATACTAGTGAGATCTTGTGCAAAGAGCATGAGGCCTTTGGTTCAAATGGTAGCCCCATAAGATCATATTAAGATCTTAACAGAAATGGGGAAGAACTTGCTGGGAACGTTTTAAGGCATAAAATACTCTTGAGTGTGAAAATACTGCATCTTTATCAGACCGTGGGTGGTTTGTAGCTAAAAAAGCTAAATGCACATAGTTGAATTTACAGACAGTCCGGATGTATTTAAGCAGAGACGAAGGTATATATATATATAAATGAGGGGAGCTAACTAACGTTGTTTAGAACAAAGTTCAAATGTTTTATTTTAGAAATTATATGTGCATCTAGCTGGGGCTCACCCACTTGTAATTTGAATGTCTTTGGACCTCTGTATGCATAAAATAGGTCTAAAATTGAATAGCAGGCATCTATACTACATTTTAAAAGCATGTGATAACAAACTTGTGTACTGATATTGCCTCGTGTTTTGTGTCCTCTGTAGTTGTTTTGTGTCTCGTGCTATATGGCCTAACCCAGCTCTGCTTTGCCCTGCCTTGCCTTGCCATGCCTCTTATTCAGCCCTCATCCTTGCTGTACATCTGGGGCGATGCCAGAATGGCAAGGCTGGGCCAATAGGTATGGGGAACAAAAATGGCTCTGGTGCTTTGCACTGAGCTCACAAATATCAGTGCGTGTGCAGCCTATCACATCAGGCCCTGTAGATGACCTAGATGTAGATGACCAAGAAGTGGACCTCTGGATCTCCAGTAGCACTAGGAGAAAAAACAGTGAGTTACTTGCAAAGCGGCCCATTCTTTTCTTCTCTTTGATCTGCACCATGTTAAGTAAACAGCTCCATTCTCTCTATGCTTTATGAAAGGGCCTTGCAGCAGAAGGCTTTGCAGCAGAAGTAGTTTGCCTGTGCTGAGATCATTAGAGCTCTAGAAAACACCCACGTTCTGAACTTCAGCGGTGCTTCACATGCTACAGACATTAATGACTCCTTACTTAGAGGCCCAGGAGCAAACATTATAGCAGCTCTCCGCTCAGCAGAGGGGTGAACCAAGGCATAGAGAGGTGAGGCACTTAACTAGCAAGTCCTCAAAGACAATGTGCTAAGGTGCTCCTGCTTCCCATTATGGGCCTTATGTGATGGACTACATTGCCTCGAACACAGAGTCTATAAACTAGGAAAGAAAGTGTTTTGTGGAAAGAAGCATTTTCTATTTCCTCTTTTATTTATGGAAGCTATTATGGAGGGCGGATATTGCTGGGAAAGCTTGTTGGCTTTGGCTAACAGGGTTCCTTTGACTAAGTATCACACACCTCTTGGTATTTCTGTTGTTCTGCTTTAACGTTTTTTGCATTCCACCTCTGTCTTGGCCTGCCCTGTTGGCATGCCTGTGTGTCTCTTTAACCTTTCATTTTTAATTCTAAGCCCACGGGGGTATAGTCTGTACAGTGCTTCACGCCACATCATCAGCGCAGAGGCATCTAGGTAATCTTGCAGTATTTTAATTATGCTCAGTGGCTTGGTCACATGGAAGAGCATCAGTTGACCATGTCCCGTGCTATATAGTGTTTCCCAAACAATTGCTCATACCCTCAGTCCTTTGCTAAGAGCATAAGGCATTCTGCTTTTCCGGGACTTCCTTGGGGTGTGATTCCTTCCCCACTCTACCCTGCAGCAATGACCTGAGGAGGCTGTAGGGAGTAGAAGGAAGAGGCAGAGGCCAGTGCGTTCCTTCTTTAAGCTTTGTGTGCTCTTCCTCCCCTTGGACAATTATTTCCTTTTGCCCAATTTATCTTCTGGAAGGAGTATGATCTAACCAGCAATTATCTCTGGCCACAGGACTGGAACTGTCAGCCTAGGGACCATCCTGTGCCTTTACGTGTTTGGCAGGCAAAGTCGTGCATCATATGAATCTTGGAATTAATGTGTTATTGGGGGTTTAGTACCAGGAGCTTCCTCACCTGCCATGACTGATCTTGCATCTCATGTCAACGTGAGTTCTGCCATTACCTTCTGCATGGACAGGATAAGTTGGCTGCCCTTGGCCTCCCCAGCAGTTCTGAAATCTAGAGGCAGAAATCTGCCTTGGAAGGCCCATGATGAAGGCCTCAGGATGTTAGCAGCTTTAACTTTCCATTTGACCATGCTGCCACTCTCTGCTGTTTGTCAGAAGCAGCTGATTGAATTAATTTGTGATCTGCTGACCGGGAAGTCTACTTGGCAAATGATGTTCTGAAGCAGGAAAGAGATGCTGTAGCTGGGAGCAGCAACTTCAGCAAGATAGTGCTGCAGGCTCTGCCAGGTCATGTGGCCCAGCGTGCGTCTCACGTGACTCCCAAACTCATGCATGGTCAAGTGAAGCCACACGCCCCCAGTCATGCGACTGGACACCCATTCCTCGTTGCTCGTGTCATTCACAGTAGGATTCTACCAATTAAAGACCTCTGAGCACAGTGTTGGTTTTTTTTTTCAATTGATTTTTTTTTGGTGGTGTTTTTGTTTGCAAGTACCCCAAAAAACAACCAAGCAAAGAAAGCTTTTCCTCCCTCCCCCCAATGTCTATGGAGCTCTCAAATGAGGAATAAAGCCATTTGTTTCTAATTATATTTGGCAGCCACTCAAGAGAATTTAGGACTGAAGCATGTGAATTTTTTTGCTCCTGATTAAAGCACTTGACCTCATAGGCAAAGGCAAAGATTCCACCACACACCCACAAGTGAGCTAGTAACAAACCGCAGAGAAAAGACCTCCCCCCCAAAAAACCTTTGTTTAGATATACAAAATAATTCATTATGAAACCAAAGGCAGAACATCTTAGTGCATAACTTAAGCTTGCCTTGGGCTCAGCTGACCTCCCATTTACTACTTTTAAAATAGCATTTACTCTGATCTAACACAAACAGAACGAAGACCCACTGAATCCCTAGTGTACATGTGATCGGGGCCCATTTATTGCCTGCAGAAAGAAAGCATCTTTCATGGGACTGTGTCGGATCTCTTGGCCTCTAGTGCTGTGCCAAGAGGATAGTTAGGATGAGATCCAATGGCAGAGGATAATGTGAGTTGCTTTTATTGCCATGCCTGTTTCCCATATTTTCTGTGTGAAACAGTTTATGTCTATCAGAACGTAGCACAAACCCCCGGCGGTGTTTTTTCTCTCTTGTTTTTGGGCTGTGTGGCTATTTTGCAATTATTTGGTCCTCCTGAGCTCAGCCAGTTGTGAAAGGTATCAGGTTTCTCCAAGGCCCGCTCTGTACTGCACGCAAGCGGTCTGAGGTTTAGCTGTCCCTAGGCTGTCCCGGTCAGCGTCGCAGCAGTGAGGAAAGGGAGTGTTCTTTCTGAGGAGCAAAGCCTGTTTCCTTTCTTTTTTCCATCTGGACATACCCTTTTCTGTAGAGCAGCATGAGACAGGTGGGTGATGTAGCTCGCTCACTCCTGGAAAAAAGCCTTCAGGAGAGGCTTTAATGACTGCAGATCCCCAGTAAAGATAAGTGGTTTCCTCCAGCTGGAATTAGGTATCCCACTGCTTTGAACAGTCAGAGGGCTGGCCTTGGCCTTGCCTCAGCATCTCTCTGTCAGCCAGCTCAAGAATCTGTTCTTAGATGTCTCTTTGTGAGAGCTCGAGTGCCTGATTTCAAGCAGAGGTTCCCTGGGATAACAGGGTACCCGGTGGTTGGGGACAGCGATGCCAAGTCTCCCTTCGTGCTCCCACTCATTAGACACAAGGTGACACAACTTTTGCTGAAGTGCACTATGGAGCGAGTTCAACTTTCAACTCTTGTGTTTACTATTTTGTCTGCTTTAATAACAGCACAAGGATGTGTTGCAATCGCAGAATACTCAGCTGGCTCCTAACCAAGAGAAATAGCAATGATCTTGATGGCACTTTTTAAAATAGCAGAGAAACCAGCTCAAACAGAAATTAACTACCCTGTGAGATTCTGTGGTCCATAAAATTCTTCCCCAGGCTCCATGGTTTTAAAATAACATGAAAGAAATACTTTCCATAAAAAGTAGTTAACTAGCATACAGATTTTTTTTACTCATAATTCTGAGAGTTGTACCCAAACAAAATAGTTATACAGGCATTAAATGATACATTATAGAAGGCTGATAAGACAGTGAATTACAGCACTACCGTATAAGATTTTAGATATACAGATAGCAACCATTATTAACATTTTTATTAAAGGTGACCTACAAAAGAGACACAAAAAAATCTGTGCCACTTTTGATTTCTTGTGATGCATGAAAAAGTGAATCTGAAATAGCTCCAACCCCACTGACATCTCGTCCTACTGTCCTTTCTGCTTCCCATCCTCCTCCCCAAAATTAATGAAGGAGAGCAGAAGATTGTTTTCTGCTGGGACTGCAAATATGCAGGCTGATGTTCTCTATTTTAGCTGGGAAACTCCTTTGAAGGACATAAAGTGAAAGTCTTTCTCAGTGCTCAGCTGAAATGGTGAGACTGTGATTTTTTTATTTTTTATTTTTGTGGAGAGATCTTTCTCTCTGCTTCCCTGGATATTTGAGTTTTGAACAGGCAAGCAAAAGCAGAAACTAAACAGTTCTGATGGATTGTAGCAGAACCAAAAAGCCTGCTTTCTGATGGACTGACTTCCTGTGAATGGTTTATTTTGTATCTTCAGAAGGTGCAAGCTCCTTACCACCAGTCTGAACTAACCTGCAGTGGCTTTTTCCCCCTGTGGATTCTCTGGTGTCTAAGGGTGGATCTTGCGTTTCAGCTTTTCCTGCGGTGGGGGTCTCTTGCCTCTAGCTGCGTGGGCATTTTCACACAGCTTGTGGGAACATAATTATCTCTGAGACTGCTACTCCTCTGTCCCCGGTGGTTAA